TGTAGTTAGCTGGCACATTAGTCGGACCGCACCTAACAAAACGGACGGAAAACCCTCCGGGCATGCATGGACAGCCCGCTGAAAAAGGGCGAGAATCACACACGCCCGCTTGGCAACCCGGCATCCCGGTGGGCACTGCGGACCAAACCGAGCCGGTGAACAAACAATACGGAGAACGGTTGGCGGAAAAAGCAGTGGGTGGATCCTAACGCGGCACGGCAGCCAGATCACCCGGCCCGGGTGGAGCGGACCAGCTTACACCAACGGTACCTCGGCAGAGTTCGACCAAGACCTCAGTCGAGCGCCTTACGGGCGAGTCGACCATACCGTCGCCGGTCGACATTGTTCGAGCCGGAATTGTTCCAGTGTCTCTAGTAGTCGGCAGCCCGGAATTGACACTGAAGGCGGACAGAACTCGACCCGACCCGAACGAACCGGTATTCCAGACGCCGGAAGGACAGCAATTCCAGAACCTTAGTGGGCCGATAAACGGACAGTCCAGTTAACAGCCGCCCGGAACAAGATCGACCGGAAGAAGGCAACCTTGGCGGAAATGATGCGACTACTACCACCCTGAATAAGGAAAATGCGGACGTGACAGAAGACACCAACCGACTCCAAAAACGGGTGGACACTTCCGCGACCGAGAGCGTCTACCTTAGGCAGGAGTGCAGTAAAAGAACCGAAGCGATAGAGATGCTGCAGCGACAGCTTTGGACGGCAACAAAAGAAGGGACGCGTACAAGGAAAAGCCAAAAAAAATCTCTGGTCGAGTCAGCCGAGTTCATCGCATGAACCGTCAAAGTTCCGAAGGAGCAGACGGATGTATTTTTGAAATACGTCAACCTAGAACAGGAACTGGGAACAACGATACACCGGACGGAACAGCTTGAGAAACTAGTAGCCGGCTTGGAGACAAATCTGACGACAGCCGTTCGCCGCGGATTGCTACTCCGCGGCCACTTGGCTCGGTGGGAATGAACGACACGGCACTCCGGACTACCAATGCGGCGAGACGGACAAACCCAACGAAGCCGGACGGACAGTCGAGACAGACAGGAGCAGATAGAAGGCTTAAAAATCGAACGCCGCAGCCGCACGAATCCATCCTGAGTGATGAATCAAACAGGTGGTAGAAACAGGCTGACACGAGGAACCTAATCGACGTGGTGGACGACTGCACCACATCTGACATGATGATCTTTTAATATCAGCCCGGCACGGCGCCTTCCGGATTTCCCGGTGGTCTGCTGCCACACTCGGCTGGTCGCGTCAATACCGCGACTCTTCTTCCGTCAATTACTCCGGCGCCGTATTTCTGGCGTCTCGCCGAGGGCGGACCAATTTATGTTGGTGACAAGGAGCTTCCTCGATGTCGGCTATCGTAGTCGTGGCCGCCCTTGTCCAGTTGTCACTTTCTGACGATGACTTCGGTCCTGGGTCTGATGTCGTGTTCGCGCTAGCGTAGGCTGTCGCACCGTCCGTTCTTGTCGGCAGGGTTCATCCTCCGGTTGTCGTTTAACCGCGGCTGCCATTGTTCTCCGACAGCTTGCAAATGTGCCGGGCGAGGCTGTGCTCCGACTAAGACGGGTTGCTGTCCATACTGCACTAAGCCCGTGTGCGATACGGCCTGCTGATACATCCGGCCGACCGGCTGTCCAAATTTCATGCTTCAGTATTGCATCATGCGACGAGAATCGCCGGAACGCGAAACGCCCTGGTCGACGGGATGAGCAGGCCGATGCCGACCGAGACTAACGACACCGGAAAGAGAAGCTGAGAGTCCTGGCCGATGTTGATCGGAGCCGACACAACGTTAGCAAATCTAATAATCTCGGGAGAGCGCTGATATCGGCCAGCCTGCCAGTTCGACGGCGATATGCGAAAACAGGACGGATGGGTGTACCAGCTTTGCCGCTTACACAAAAGACACAAATTAGTCGGTAACTTAGTAATCTCTGAGTTCATTGTCGTACGTGAGCAGACTCGAACCGGACATGTGGCGGACTAGTGCTAGGAACCGACGGCAGAAGAACAGAAGGACGGTTGGGCGTTCGATGTCTGGATAACCAAGTTTACGGCTCGATTTGCCGATCAAAAGGATGATGTTAGTGCTGGCTTGTGCAGGCGACATAAGGATTCGCGTCGCCCGGACATGCATTTGAAGTAAACTGGACACCTTTCGGCCCTTCGTCTGCATCACCGCGAAAGTGCGGACAGCCCTAACCGAGCCCGCCGGGGACAGGCAGATATGGGAGAGGCACTGGAGGATACTGCGGGAACTAAGGCGGAAACCCGGCGGTAAAGGGAATTTCAGCCAGCCGCGAGGTAGTGGCCGAAGCATCTTTGGCGGAGGTTAGCTCGGCCAGAACTTAACCGTCCAAGGAGAGTGGAATATACTCAATATAGCCGGCCAGAACTTCGGAAACCTAGTGGGCACGAATCGGCCTGGCCCGGCACGACGCTGGGGAACGGGGATGACGGATGGGTACAACGAGCAGGTAACGGAACATGCACCTACGGACGCAAACCTGAGCGATGACCTGCTAGTGCTGCATGCCGGGAAACCATGCAACGGCAATGTGTGAATTTGCGGCCGGAGACTGCAACCAGAACCCGTACCTACGCTGGTACCAGGAATGGCGCCGTCGCTAGAAAGCTGGATTAAACATCCGAGCGGCGAATCCTCACCGTCCCGGCTTTACGCTTCCACCTGGAACACGGCATGTTTGGTGGCCAGGTAGCCGGCAACGGGGTTCTTAGTATCCAGGGCAGCCCGGGGCCAGGGTGCGCCCTGGACGGAAGCCGCCCTGGGCGGCAAATAGAATAGCCGCGATTGTTGCTTTGGGGATCCTGGCGGAAACAATCAGAGAATGCCGCCAATGCGCTAGCTGCTGCCGTCCCTGACTCAGCGCCGCCGCCAATGGTGCAGCCAGGATGCATGGGTGCCCCTGTTTACTAACAGTAACAGCAGCCGATACTGCAGCCTGGAAAGTCAAGCGCTCCTGCATACCCGACGGTGGCGATAGCGGCGCCGGCGCTCCAGCCAGCCCAAATGACATATCAGCAGCAACCGGATTACCGGCAGCCGCTGATTTACCAGTCCGGACCAATATGTGCTCCGGTGCAGTAAGGACAGTTGTGCGGCCTGATGGCGTCCGTGCCCAGGCAGACGTTCGGCAGCCGGGCCACGGTCACAAAATACCTGAACATCCAGCAACTGCAGGTGGCTTCCTCGACCGACGACCTCTACAAAACCGCCTGTCATAAATGGAGCGGGATGGACAAACACGACGCCGGGCGGTACGTTTGCGCCTGTGCAGCGATTCTTAGCGCCTGGTAGCCGGGGTGTCCCTGTGCAGCTTAAACAAGCGCCGGTTGATATGGTCATCCCCGTGTGTCGGGTGACAGCCCCGAGCGACAGGATGGCGACCGAGCGGCTTGACCAAATGAAAATATGGATTTCCTCTAAACCGAATGACGGATTCAAAAGGCAGGGATTCGAAAATCGAACCGCAAGGCAGGCAATGCAACCGTTCGGAGACAATATGGAAAGCGGGTTCCTTGGGACAATTTTACCAGCCTGGAGATATCACCCCGCGGTAGGCTGCCGACATGAGATGCCGTGGTGACGAGTGACTCAACCCCAGCTTAACCAACCGCCGGGACGGTCGGCGCAAGTCGTAATGGGCCCAACTCGCCGTCCAACTCCCGGCTGTGCCGTGCCGGATCCCAAGTAACGCTGTTTTACAAAACTTCCGGCACTTAACCGTACAGAGCGGAATGAAAGTGTGCGGTGAGACAGGTTGCAATAATGGTGTGGCAAAATAGCCAACTGACTATTTTGCCGACCATAATGCGGCAAAATAGCTAAGCAGCTATTTTCACGCAGTGTGCGGTAAAATAGCCACCAAGCTATTTCGCTTACCATAGTGCGGCAAAATAGCCAGCTGGCTATTTAGCCGCAAACACTGCGGCAAAATAGCCACTTCGTAGACTTTTTCGAATAAAAAATAACTGGTAAACAGAAATCAGACGGGTAGGAATGAGCGTAGCGGTGCTGGGTGCAAAAGAAAGGACTGTAATGTAATAAATGCTTTCCAGGGCCAAAATAGCAGAAACAGATTAGACAACTGATCTGAACGAACATGCAGCACTTCAAGAGCCTGCACAGCACTACTACCACACAATTCACTAACGTGGATAGCCTCACCTCGCGAGTCAAAACTAATTTGGGAAATCTGGCACTTATGCACAACTTAAAAATCCAGAATAACGGTGTCACACGAAAACCTGACGAGTTCCCGAATACCCTCGATGAAACAACCCGGAAACTTGGACTTTACTGGCGATATTTTGCCACAAAACCTTGCACAGTATAAGAGGCTGTGCACAGTGTGCAGCTAGCTGTGCAGTCTGTGCTGCAGATCAGATGAATCCCATGAAGTGCGCAAATAAGGGAAACCCCGCAAATACCGAATCACTGCAGAGGTGGGCGGTCCCAGCAGTAAATAATTTACGTGCTCGTATGCTCGCTTAAATTATTTTAATGATTTACAGACGCCAGTGAGCCATACGCATATGCAGCATGCACGCATCGCGGAGCAATGCCCTGCATCTGATCATTCTGATGTCATCCGAAAAGTCTAGTGTGGTAAGTACAGTACGTAGGTGATGAGACCGTACCGCCAGTATAAAGTACGTACTTGCTGTATTGACCTAGTACAGCAAGTACGCATCGGCTGGCATCCGTCCATTTCTCGGGTGCCTGCGCTGGCGATGAGTCAGCACTTTTGCATGCGAAAACATTCTACAGTCGATGCTTGGCCACAGTAGACATAGATAGGCGGCAGGCTGGCGGCATATAGCCACTTTTCTCTAGCACAAACGTTGCTGGCGTTGGTTTGATTCCTTTATTTTCAGTATTTCGCGATACAGCGTCACTGAAGTTACCTTATCTAATACTGCGCTTTATCTAATACTGCCGATGTCTCAAAAAATTCGTGGTTAGGCATGTTTTCGTTCCGGGCGCGTGACATCAACGTTGTAGGCGACAACAACACCCTGCTGTACGGCCGTGTGGTGGACGTGGCGGACAACGGGCTCTATATCGATCTGCTGTGCCCCAAACGCCATCGCGAATTCTTTCCCTTCAACCGGGTCTTTCTATCCCTGCGCTGTTTGCATCAGGAATGGATGTGGGATCCCACGGAGGAGCCGCGACAGACCATTGCGGTGGAAGTGCTGCGACGTGAAGACCCTAGTGGGACGTGGCGCTGGTGGCCCGGACTCGTTATTACTCCGGCGCGGAAGTGGGACTCCTCCTTTTGGTGTAGGCAGTGGGAGGAGTGCAGGGTGGCCGTTGTTCAGGGCCGGGAGGACAGTGGCGCCATCTGGACGGACATTGTCCCGCGGCACTGCCTCCGCTATCCGGTGCCGAGCGACTGGTGGATCGATCAGCGCGACATGAAGATAACGTTGTCGGCGGTGACGCATCTCTGGCACACTGGACCGGGACGGTTTGTGAAATGGTCGATGCCCCCGCTGCCCGCTGAGTGTCGCGAGGTGTCCGCTGAGCAGTTATTGCAGTTGATAAAGGAAATGGACGAGGAAGGTGCCGCCAAAGGCCACGTGGTCAGCGTTGACGTGGCGGATGGGGAGGTGCAGTGTGTGGTTGAGCTGAACGAAGGCGTCGGGGATACGGAGGCACAGGTTCGTCAATGTCTTTGCAGACTTTGCTACAGTTAACGAGTGGGCGTCGGTATTTTTGCTCTAACTAATGGCCGCAAAAAACTCTAACTCCCCATCAGCAGAAATTAGCGTTTCCTGTGGTTCTAACGGCCCTCGTGTCAGTTACAAATTAGCTTACTCTCCCTGTTACTGAAATTACGTACCCGGTGCTTTAAAATCATTAACGTTTTATTTAACAGAGGGCACCATACAATTTCACAGTGGTCGAGTTTGATGAATTTTCCATTTTAATATATAACGCTGTCGCGATTTCAAATTTCCATAATCTGTTTTTAAGCTTTTACGTTTTTTTGTTATTACAACATTTGTATATTTTAAGGTTTTTGAGCTAATAGTGTTTTCTGTCCGGCCTTCCCAGATAGATTTGAGGGGTGAGCCAGCCCTCGGGTGGCCTACCGCCACTTAATTTGAAATTTTCTCGGGCCGGTGCAAAATTTGTCGAGTTGATTTTCTAATTTAATCTTGTATCGCAACAGGAAATCCTTCAACCGTTGCACAACATGCTGACCTTACGCCTTCCTCAGGTCCTGCGTGATGAGGCGGAAACTGTTGAACGTGGAATGGTAGATGGATTCCCGGTACTAAGTGTGGATGTGTGGCAGGAAGTGTTCGCTCATCTGGACACGGTAACGCAGACCAGACTGCGAGCGGTGCACCCCAAGTGGAAAGATATTCTCGACAAGACGGCTGCTTTGACGGCCAACATTATCATCGAGACCAGCGGAGGCCTTCGCAATTTCCACTACTTTATGACGGCGCCCATCTTCGAATGCCTGCGCCCTTCCACCAAGCGCGTTATCATCCATGATCGCGAGCGCCGCATCCGCTGGGCCGAGTTGCTCACCGTGTTGGATATGATCGATTACGTGGCACGGACCCATCCCGGGATCCGTCTGACGGGACTGTACGTGGTCGGCGTCACGAAGTTGCTGTCGGAATCGGGCTTGCGCGATGAAGATGCTGACCCGAAAGAGTGCGATGTGCACCCTCCCAGCGATTTATTCGGGCGGCCGCGCTGCTACTCTGGCCTCCTGGATGATTTGATCGTGGCCCGCCGCGATCTCCCCTGCGACGCCATCCATCTGGTGCGCTGTCGGGTGCGTGTGCGCTACGATGTGGTCAACCCGACCGATGTGGAGGGTTGGACTAGGAGGAGGTGCGTACAGCTGGATGTCGACATGGCCCTGACGCGTCTGCCGCTGAGCGGGGATTGGGCGTCGAACGTGTGGCAAGCGGTGGAATCGGCGTTGCCGGTGCCTAGTGGGGACGAGATGCAGGCATTGTCGGCGTGGTTGACCGAGGTCACGGCGGACGAGCGCCGCCAGTTTCAGCGCATTGCCGTCTGCAAAGTAAGAGCCAGTCTTGAGCCTCTTTTAAATTTTGAAAAATAAAAATGGATAAAAAATTTAACATCATACTTATAAAAATAAAAGTTAACGCGAAAATTAAAATTGAAATGATAGTACAAAATTAAAAATTTACAATCGACTTTTATGGGCAGATTAATGCAACTTTGGTAATTAATCGATATTAATTATTATTTCAGTACAAAATAATTTGTCAAAATAAAGCTAATCAGCGCATTTAGGAAACTGCGGTGCTGGAGGTACTGTAGTGAATTGTGTGATCCACGTATTTCCAAGAAACGCATCCGTTTTCTCAAATTACAACTACCAGGGGTTCCTTAAGGAAATTAGTGTGTGCTCAGCGTGAGACCTGTTTTCAGACAAGCTCATTGGTGTATTTACTAGGTGTTATGCATGACGCAGACCGGTGATCCGCGTTCGTCCTTGCATTACCGCGGGAAGAAGTGGTGCGCCGATGGACTGCAGGGTTTACGCTTGGAGAAACTGTCCCGCATTGCGCAGCGATTTCTTGTCATCCTTCCTGAATTCCTGCGTAAGCGCCGCTCCGGATCGCCGGTATCTTCAGACTCAGATTAACTCCTACAGGAACGGCTTTCTCTTAACGGCTGTATTGCAATAAATTAATTTTTCTCAGTTTTTAAAGCATTTCTGTTTGTCTTCACTTGTGGGTGTTTCGAGTTTTTGAGGCTCTTTTTTTGTTTTTCACTTTTTCTTTACCGGAAAGTCCGCTGATCCTGTTTGAATACTAATTTACCGGAATGGTTCTGGACACCTGTTTCCTTTCCCAGAAATCTCTCTGCCTATGTGGACGCATTACTATTATGTGGTTTAGCATCAGGTTTGCGGAAATACTCGTAGCTTAATCATCTTTATTGAACTTTCGTGGTCATAAAACAGAGCTTAGTACCTGTGAAAAATAAAATACGGTTTTTCTAACTATAAAGCTGATGCGCCGCTGTTGTCTCTGTAATTAATCGGACTGTATAGATAATTGCTAGCGGGAAGTGGCCGGCTCATTATGTGGAAAAGAACAGAAGCAATGAATGGTGTATAGAAGTATAGATATTAAAAGTACTCTCGTTTTGGGCTGTGGGCACGCGAACCTAAGGAAAAAAACGGCAACCGTTATATACTCGTAAAATGCTATATAAAATGAGGCTTCATAACGCAACCGCTACAAGAACCGCTGACATACGCTTCACAGGAATTCCCGATAAGTTCCGATAAATGTGAAAGACGTTAAGCGGCTAATAGCCGGTTTTATGTTTTATGATTCCAAGTTCTATGACTACCAAAGTGAAAAAATGCAACCAAATGAATTTTATTGGCTCATATGGGTTTATTAAGTGGTCGAGTGCGCAGGCCGCAAGGATAACTGAAGAAACCACTGAAAAACAATGATATCGCGCTGCTTCGGTACCATTACGTAATAACAGAAGAATCTCGTTTGGAGCAGAAGACCTGCTGAAGCAATCACAAGCGGGACGCCAATGAAACGCCCACAAAGCGAACAAATAAACAAGCAAGTAAATAAGTTGGATATCGAGAGAAAGCCGCCCTTGGATACTCCGCGATCAAACCTGAGGTTCGGGGAGGTAGTCCCGCAAGACATCGGCCGTGGTGAGAAGGAAGCGCAGCGCAATGCGCGAGAGCTTCTCTAAGCGCAACTCCTGCAATCCATCCGTGCACCACTTCTTCCCGCGGTAAGCAGAGGAGGGACGCGGATCCGCGGTCTGCATTGTGCACAACACCTATTATCAATGAATACGATTGACCAGAATTGGAAAAGCAACCAACATACTGAGAACGGCATCGCATCATAAAAACCGTTCTATCAATCAACACCTGAATGTGTTGTCAGTCATTTTTAGAAAACAGAATAACTTATATAGAAGTAAGGTTCTGCGCACTGTGGAAGTGTTGATAACACTGGTTGTGACAAACTTCAGTTACGTATATGATTGTATTCTTTCAACATTGGTCCTTACTTTCCAGACTGCCGTGCGCTAGACCCATTGGTTGTTCTCTGTTGCGATCGCGCTCAACCAGTCCGTCAGTGCACGGACCTCGTTGTCGCTGGATGCCGCCAGCGCAGTCTCCAACGTATGCCACAACGCCGACGCGAAATCCCCGCTCAGCGGCAGACGCGTCATCGCCATGTCAATGTCAAGTCGAATTAACCTTTCACATATATCCAGCATGTTATATTCCAGGCACATCCCGCAGCGGACAAGATTGATGGCATTACACGGCAGACCGCGGCACAATGCGACGAAATGTTGCAGGTTTTTCGCGGTACAACGCGACGTCCCCGTTCCGCTAAATGCTTCAGGATTATGCACTGGACAGACCTCGGGCCCCGTGTTGAACGGATCAGCAAGAGAAAACTCGTAGTTGACATTCGCCATCAAATTTCTGACGCCGACAACATATACTGCCTTCAGATGGATTCCGGGGCGAACCCGCGTTGTATAGTGAATCATACTTAACAAAGCGAAGAAGCCGTCCATACCGTAGCACGTTGCGGGGCCGCGGTTATTCAGGATAACGTGCTTGACTGAGGGATGCAGACATTTGAAGATTGGTGCAGTTAGGGTGTATCCAGTGCAGTAAAGACAACGCAGATGTTTGCTGGCTTCACTTATCTCGATGATTATATCAGCCGCCAGAGCAGGTGTGCCCAAAACAGCCTCCCACGACAAGGACACCCTGCGCAGCAGGGTCCGCGTTATCGTGTCCAGATGGGCAAAAACTTGCTGCCACACATCCACTCCCAGTACAGGGGGTTCACCTATCATCCCCGTTTCAACCGAAGCCGTCGTCTTTCGCAAAATATATGGAATCCAGAGAGTTAGCGCGCGGAGGAGCGGCTGAACGATTTCCTGTAAGCAATCATAACAACAAGTCAGCAAGCCGAGGAAAACAAACGATAGCCACGATTCCCCATGAAATAAAAGGATGGTATGATAAATAACAATAACCCTGATAACATAATGGTATGATAAATAACAACAACCCTGATAGTCGACTAACCTGTGCCGGGTTTTCAGGCTGCGGAAGCGAGACGCTATCGTACAGGTCCATGATACAATGCAGCTGTCCGTCCACGATGTCGACGCAAACCACCTCCCCGGCAGAATAACCTAGCCAATCGAAAGTAGCAAACTGGTTCAAATTCGTCCCATTCCTCACCCGCAGTAGCTGGTCTTCTGATGCCCCACGACAATCATCGGGCAGCGGCATACTGCGCTTCACAAAACGCCCCGGTGGAACGAACACTGGCAGCGTCACATTCGGAACCTGCCGTCGCTCCTTCAGTTGCTCCGCCCACCAGTAGTCCGGCACGTGGAAGCGGATGCGGTGTTGTGGGAAAATGTCCGTCCAAGTGACGCCGCTGTCTTCCTGTCCTTGAACGACAGCCACGGTACAGTGCGACCACCACACTATTTGTGGGGCCGGCGGATTGGTGATTTTCCCTGGCCACCAGCGCCACGCACCGCCGGGATATTCACGACGCAGAACTTCCACCAAAAGCGTCTCCCATGACTGGGTCTTCCGATCAATGTCTGCGCATTCAGTAATATTGGACGAGAAAAGCCTGTTGAAAGGGATGAATTCGCGTCGACGATCGGTGCATAACAAATCGATGTACAGACCGTTGTCGGCAACGTCCACCACACATCCGTACAGCAGGGTGTTATTGTCGCCCATAACGCTGATCTGACTGGTCCGCAGGGGAAACATGGCTGAGGTCATAGATTTCCGGGTTGGTTGACAATGAACGATAATCTGCAAAGCACTTCGTCCAGCTCCCTTTACAATCTGCAAAGACGAACTGAACTTTTTCCCAGTAATGGTAAGTTGGTATCCGATCTTCAGAAATCAGAAGGGAATCAGCGTAGCGGTGCAAAAAAGGGAGTGGATCAACTGGTCTTCCAATGGTCAATTAATACCAGTAGATCACAAACTGACATAAGGAAATAATAGTTTCACTTTACGCGTCAGAAATTTTGGCACTTGTGTAGAAATTAAATTTCTAGAAATAACGGTAATGCCTCAATAACGAGGGATTCTTTTCAAAGCCGGCTTTACAGACGGCATACAAGTCCACACATGTGGGGTAATGCTCTGTACCTCTTCGATGTACGACTGAAGCTGCATGTTGAGGAAACTGGTCGTTTTGTACGGAGAGTCGCCGAAGACGTGAGCATTTCGTACTAAAATCCTGTCCAGCATGACGGAATGCTGGAAAAGTCTGCTCTCTTAATATTCAACGGGTCAGCTTTTTTACGGCTGCTCAGATACAGATGCCATTGCTCACTTTGCTGGCTTTCGCATTGGATTTCGTTGCGCTGATTTCGAGCTGCTCAATGCCATCGTACACACAGTGACAACATGGAAAGCTGTAGCGGGAGTCAAGCAGTAGTCCATGGCGCTGTGGTAACGCCGCAAGCTCTCATAGCGTTTACAACTTCACAGGCAGTGTAGCAACGGCCGAACTCGCACGCTTCGCACAGCTCTAAGCAGTTTTCGGTCGCAACACTCCACAAGGATTAAGCAATCGCGAGAAGCGCGTGTAACCGTGCGAAACGTCCGCCGTCAGTTTTAGTGATAAAATAACGGCAGTTCATGTAAGACTGCAAACGTGCTGTAAATATTAAGCAAAAAACCAAATCGGGCTTAGAATAGTTAACACATAGGTTGTCTTTGGAACTGACAGGTAATTATTGGCAGATACGTGACCGGTTTTTTATCTGAAAAAAGAGCAAGTACCTAACAGTGTAGTTTAAAAGTAAGTACTTTCGCTTCGGGGCTGCAGGCAGGCACGCGGAAAAAAGAAATGACAAGGGTAATACAAAATGCACAGGCATGCTTCTTAAAGCAGCCGGTACAATATTTTTTCTCGCAGGGAAAACGTCAACATTCATTCGAGACAACTTCCGGTGAAGTTTGGATAATATGGATTTCCTAACTATTGAATATTCTTTTTGTTTTAGTACTAAGTGTGTACAAACGTGCGATACTTATTAAAGGTACCGTAAAAAAATAAAACTTTTTTTATCATTTATTAGACTTTGCCCAAAAATTCTTCCACAACCATGTTTGGGGCAATGACCAATCAAATCAACGTTTTGGACGATAACCACACCCTGCTGTACGGTTCGCGTGGTGGACGTGGCCGACAACGGACTCTACATCGATCTGTTGTGGCGCGACCGTCGACGCGAATTCATCCCTTTCGGTCGCCTCTTCTCTCCAAGAGCATGAAACTCGCAAAAGGAGATAATAACGCGATGGCTGAGCCATGGAATGGGGATTCCGTCGAAGTGTTGCGCCGTGACCGTCCCGGCGGCGTCGTAGCGCTGGTGGCCTGGAAAAGTACTGAATCGGAACCCGGACCCATTATTTTGCTATGCGTGCCCCGGTTTGGCCGTAGTCAGGGACAGGATAACGGCGGCGCCACCTGGACGGATATCCTCCCCAAGCAACGCCTCCGCTATCCGGTGCCAGAGCCGGAGTCAGCCGGACACCTGGTGGATGGGGCAACGTGAGCCCCCAGCGCGAGGATCAATGCA